TCTCTCTGTAGTAGGTTAAGAGTCTTTCCTCTGCCTAGGTGTCCTTTAATAGGCAAGTTATGTATAATTTAGAGTAGTTTAATTCTTAGTTTATTAAAATTAAGGATTATAAGTTAGTTATAGTAATATAGCTTACTATTTTAGTTTTTATAGTTAGCTAGTGTTACTTTTTTTAACTAACTAGCGCTGTTTTAGAGCAGGTTTAAAGTTTTTTAGATAAATTTATTATTTAGATACTTATTAGTAATAATCTAATTAATTATCTAATCTATTTTGTTTAAGTTAAGGTTTAAAAATAGCTTAGGTTAAAGTAAAGTTTAGTGTTAAGCCTTTTACACTTCTTTTTAAGTAGGGATGTCTTAGAATTGCCTTATAAGGGCATCTAGTTTCCCTTTGTTTTAACTAGAATAATAAGTAATCTTAAAATTAAAATAAAATAGGTATTTAGACTAACAGGCTTATTAGTAGCTAAGTTATTTTATAGTTATAAAGTACTATAAGTTCTTATAGTTAGATAGAACCTGTATTAGATGCGCTGCACCTTCTAGTTTAGGTTGCTATTATTTAAAGTAGTGTACTATAGTAAGTAATTTCTTATTATAGATCTTATAATTACCTTCTACAGGACTTATTCTTTTTAAAAAGTATGTAATAGGCTTAATAGTTCTGTCTAGCTTAGTCTAGAAGAGAACTTCTGCTACTACGTAGTCTAAGGCATTAGCTTCTACAAGTATTAGTAGTTTAGAGTTAAAGTAGCAGAGAATTAAAGCTTTAGTAAAGGCTTTCTTTAGCTAGTTAAAGAACTATTAGTAATTTAAGTTAAAGTTAAATTAGACTTTTTTTTTAGTAAGTATAATTATAGAGCTTACTAGCTATAAAAAGTTGTTAATAAATTATTAGTAAAAGTTAGTAAATTCTATAAAGGCTTAAACATCTTTTATGTCTTTTAGGTATTGCTAATCTAGCACAGTCTAAACCTTAATAGAGTCTATTTAGATGCTATCTATAAAGATTACATATTCTAAATATGTAACCTTTAATTAGTAGAACTTGCATTTGTCTATGTTAAGTTATAGACCTGCTTTTTTTATAGCTTTTAGCACTAGGCGTACATGCTGTTTGTGCTCTAAAAGGCTATTACTGTAGATTAGAATATTATTAATATACGTAGTGCAGAACATGTCTAGGTAGGGTTAGAGCAAGTTGTTTACAAAATGTTAAAAAGTACTAGGCGCGTTAGCTAAGCTAAAGGGCATTACTAGGTACTTAAATAGTCTGTATTAGGTCTAAAACGCTGTTAGCTACTTATTACCCTTTACTATCTTTAGCTTATTAAAGGTAGTAATAATATCTAACTTTATAAAATACTTTACTTTACTTAGTTAGCTTAAAGTTTTTTATAAAAAAGAAATTAAGTATTAGTTCTTAATAGTAACAGTATTTAGTCCTTAGTAGTTAACATAGAATTAAAGCCTACCTTTAGGTTTCTTTATAAATAGTATAAGTAACACTACTAGTAAGAAGCTAGCTTAAATAAACCTTTTTTTTAGGTTTTTATTAAAGTATTTTTAAAGCACTTTTAATTTATTTAGCAACATCCTATATAGTAGCCTATAACTAGGTTGTTTACTAGGCTTAAAAGTTATCTAGTAATTATATAGATGTTGTATTAAAAGCTTATTAGACTTGTCTTAAAAAAAGACATGTAACAAGTTATAGTAGTCTTAAGAGACTATTATCTTTAAGTTAGTGTATTTTTAAAGAGCTAAAGCTTAGTCTATATTAGAAATTATAACTGCGTAGATTTTATAATCTAGTTATTAAGCTAGGGTTATAAATAAAGCAGGTTCTATGTAGCAGATGTCTATCTGCTATTTAAGTCTTAGTTTATGTCTAAATTAAGTAAGTAAAGGTTTCTTAAAGGCTTTCTCTTTTTTAGGTTTAAGTAGTTGTTAAATTATTTTACATAGCTTATTTTAGTAAAAGGCTTAGCTTATTAGCCTTACTTAGGTAGTTCTTCTCTAGGTTATTAAAAAGTAGGTCTAAAGACCTTCTATATTAAGTGCTATTTAGGTGTTGTTTAGGTGTAAGCGTAAGCATATATCTTAGCATTAGAAAGAGTTAAAGTTTAGAACTTACTCTTAGTAATTAAAGGCAACTTTATGCTAATACAGCTATAGTTGTTCTAGGATTAGGTTATAACATTCTATGTTTATTACATAGAGCTTAATCTGCTCTTTATAGTGTTAGTAGGTAATTATAATAGTTATAGTATAAAAGATAGAACTTTTTTTAAGTTATTTTCTATTAAATCTAGTTAGGTAAATTATTTAGGTAAGTAGTGTTAATTAAAGATTTAGTTTACATGCTAGTTCTCTGTTAATATAACCTATGCTGTTTACTTTTAAGTTAATAAGAGCTTATATTAGAGCTAATATAGTTTCTTATTATAAATATATAAGAATATTAACTTAGTACTTTTAGTTATTAGTAGAGGACTTAGCCTATAGGTTAGCAGAGATCTAGTGTTAAATTAGTCCTAAGGGGCAACTTAGCCCTAGGACAAGCCTTTTTGCAGGCTTCTACTGCTATAGCTGCGGCTACGTTAAGAGTAGCAAGAGGGATTAGAGCTTAAATATAAGTTAGAGCCCTTATAAAAATAAAATTAAAATAGTAAAAATCTTTAATAAGTACTAGCAGCGCTACTTGCGCAGACTTAAGAAAGGGGAATAGAGTAGTTTTAAGAAATATAACTATGCTTACTGCACTTAAAGTATTAACTTTTCTTTTTGTAATCTTTATGCTTTCTAGAACTAACTAAAGCATAATTTAAATTAATTTTTATTACATTAGAGTTCTTATTTGCAACTGCGCTAGTTTAGGGGCGTATTAGGGCTTGTACAGGGAGGAACCTTATGTTATTATTATAGGTAGCAATTAGGTTCGCATACGCGTTAAGGTTGTTTAAGAGGGGTTCTTTTACTATAGCGCGTTACAGTTTAGTTAAGAGGGAGTTACATAGGGCTGTAATTAGACCTATCTTGTTTAAGCCTATATTAGATGCAAGTTAGCAGAACTTAGTAAAGTGTAAGGTAAAGCTTTTTCTTTTTTATTATAGAGTGTTTAGGCAACTTAGAGCTGTTAACTTTTTATTTAGGTCTTTATAAGTTACTTACAAGAACGCTATAAATTAATTTAAGTTAATAATATCTTTATTTATTAGTAAGTTAATTAAGGCTGTTACATTATAGTTAAGTTAAGAGTAGGCATATAGTAACTAGAAGCGTTTAGAGAGGAATTAGTCTATGTTTCCTTTAAGTTTATATTAGAGCTTGCGTAGGAAGAAAGGTAGGTCTTTCTGTTTTCTGTTAAACAGCAGGGGATTAGAGAGTTAGTTAGATTTTATTACTAGGTTAGAGAGGTTATAGGTTGTAGGCAGTGTTAGGCAGGAGGGAGTTAAGCTATCTCTAGACTTCTAGGTAGGCTTTAAGGCTAGTAAGTTCTTAGTTCCTACTACTATAACAAGAGTTAAGGCAGAAACAGACTGCTTAATAACGTAAAGCTGTTTTTTAAAGTCCTTTTAAAAAGCTTTAAAGCTTACAATGTAGCAGCTTTTCTATAAAGTAAGTGCTTCTTAGAAGGCTTTTTAGCTTACTCTAATAGCTTAGAGTTATGTAAGTACTAAGCTTATTAGATTAGATTTAGAGGCTATTCTTAGCTAGAGTTTTAACACAACGTAATGTTATAATTGTGCATAAGTAAGGTTATAGAGCTTTACAGAGGTCTAGTTTAATTACTATGTAAGGTATTATAGTAGGTACAAGACGTTGTGTAAGGAATAGAAAGGTTTAGAAGGAAATTAGTAATTAAATACTTAGCTTAGAAGTCTAAGCGCTTTAGGTATAAATTAAGCCTGTTCTAGGTTTAGTTAGTGTTAAGGCAGTTTGTGCTTAATTTTATGTCCGTGTTGTGTTGTGTTTGTGTCAGACGTGCACTAATAATACTCTAGTACGCGTCTAATACAGTTATGTCTGGGATCTGGGGAGGATACCGTGACATTAAGTTTATGTCTATGTTGTGTTGTGTTTGTGTTAGACGTGCACTAATAATACTCTAGTACGCGTCTAATACAGTTATGTCTGGGATCCGGGGAGGATACCGTGACAATAGGTATAAAATAAAGTATAGTATAAAATAAATAAAAGTTAAAAAAATATTATATAAAAACAAGTAGAAAGAAAGATAGAGTATAAAGAAATATATAGTATAAAAGATAGATACTATTAAAACAGTTATAGATAAAAAAAATATTATAAAATAAAGTAGAGTATATAAAATTATAAAAGAAAGTATAGTTTAAAAAAAAGTATAGTATAAACAAAAACATAGCATAGAAACATATAATATATAAAAAAAAATAGTAAAAGAAAAGTAAAAGAATAGTAAAAGAAAATAAACCGCAGAAACAGGCATAAGGTTAGACCTGGGACAGTAGGGTTTTTTTCGCGCAAAGGGACAAAAACAGGTTTAAAAGCTACAGGCAGGCAGCAGTTAAGCTATATAGGCGTTGTGGCAAAAGAGAGAGTGGTTAAAAGGTAGGCATTAGAGAGGTCTTAACTGTTTTTAGTAAGAGGATTGTTTAGCAAGGCAGCAAGGGGCGCTAGCTGCATTTAGGGTTTTAGTGGAATTAAACACCATCCACCTCTAGCTGTTAGTAGTACATAGATAATAGACAGAAACGTTTTACAAAGGCTCTGCAAGCTAGATTCTGCAATTTTGTATGCATCCATACAGTTTGTAGGTAGTCGGGAATAGCATTGTGGTACTTGGCGTGCATTAAGCGCTAGCCGCATTTAGGTTTTTAGTAGAATTAAACGCCATCCACCTCCAGCTGTCAGTAGTACGTAGATAATAGACAGAAACGTTTCGCAAAGGCTCTGCAAGCTAGATTCTGTAATATTGTATGCATCTATATAGTTTGTGGGTAGTCGGGAATAGCATTATGGTACTTGGCTGGCATTGGGCGCTAGCTGCATTCGGGTTTTTGGTGGAATCGAACACCATCCACCTCCAGCGGTCAGTAGTAGGTAGATAATAGACAGAAACGTTTTGCAAAGGCTCTGCAAGCTAGATTCTGTAATATTGTATGCATCTGTATAGTTTGTGGGTAGTCGGGAATAGCATTGTGGTACTTGGCTGGCATTGGGCGCTAGCTGCATTTGGGTTTTTGGTGGAATCGAACACCATCCACCTCCAGCTGTTAGTAGTACATAGATAATAGACAGAAACGTTTCGCAAAGGCTCTGAACGCTAGATTCTGTAATATAGTATGCATACGTATGGTTTGTGGGTAGTCGGGAATAGCATTGTGGTACTTGGCTAGTATTAGGCGCTAGCCGCATTCGGGTTTTTAGTGGAATCGAACACCATCCACCTCCAGCGGTTAGTAGTACGTAGATAATAGACAGAACCGTTTCGCAAAGGCTCTGTAAGCCAGATTCTGTAATATAGTATGCATACGTATGGTTTGTGGGTAGTCGGGAATAGCATTATGGTACTTGGCTGGCATTAAGCGCTTGCCGCATTTGGGTTTTTGGTGGAAT